CTCTTGGCAGACACATATTGTAAACAAAAGCTTGACTGTGCATACGGGGTGCTAAAAAGTGATTTATTTTCAGTTGTAAGGCTTCATATGGGTTTTTAACATAACACTCCAAAGGCGTAACATTCTCATTACCACGTGGATGATCTGTTGACATAAAAGCTGTCCCTGCTCCCCCTTATACAACTTTCCTCTCCTTCCCTTTCGAAACCGAGGCAACCGCAGCTAATGCCTATACCATGACGTAATGCCAGAATGGAATTTTTGGGCTTTTGTGAGTGTCGTAGCAGGCTTCCAAAACTCTACATCATTCACAGCACGATTTTCAACTAAATAGAAAAAAGACAGCTTTCCGTCCCATCTGCAAGTTTTCCTGCCTCAAAACTCTGCAGTCGTTAAGATATGCATTTAATCTTCAAATGAATTATATTCAAAGCCAGAGATTTAATCTTACATAAAAAGGACTTTCAAGTTGCGATTAAGGCCTAAAAAACATCTAAACAAAGTATAAAGGTCCAAGTCTAAACCTTAAAGCACACAAATTTTGGAGCTCAAAACCTTGCACTCATTGTAAGAACTCAGAGAAGGATAAACAGCGAATGAGAGACAATGAGAGTGAGTTTGACCTACACAGATGCTGACCACAGACATCACTCATCAAATTAAGCCATTCTAAGCAAAAGTGTGTGTGAAGCTAAAAGCCATTGAGCTGACCTCAAACAGAGATGCTAATGGCTCTGCTTTAAATTACATCACCCTGTCGTCCTACCTCTCCAAACACACACCCAGTGACCCAGACACCCCCTACTAGCTGAGCATTTCCTAGACTGCAAGGACAAGCCTTGCAATTTACTCACTGAACACATGGAATGCAGAAAATACTGCACTGGTTAATAAAATGCACATGCATTTTTAGCTCTAGCAAAAAAATATGTTCACATTTTTGTGCATGCAAAGCAAGTGAATGATTTCTTTGCTCATTTATTTCTAAAGACAAATACCATCTCTACATTTTCTCTCCTCAGCCATGTGTCTCAATTATTTAAACAGATGTGGATCCACATCACATCTTGTGGCCATACCCTGACAGTGGACATTATCTCTGCTCTCTTGGTCACGTCATACTCCTGAGTCCAGAGTTATGGGTTTCTGGGTGTGCATGTGCTAGTTTGTGTATGTTTGTTAAAAATCTGTGTATTTGGCGATAGCTGGTCACAGTTTGTGTGTCTGCAGACAAACAGGAATACCCCATATCCCATCCATGCTGACTAAGCAGTCCTGCCCCAACCACGACTGTTTAACATGCACCATTCAGTGCACTGCAACCACCTTCACCATTGCTGTCAGTCTCACTGTACTCCAAATGCATGCTTGTTAACAAAGACATGCTATAGTGTGGTACATGGTCACAAAACCTGGTAGGTTCCATAGATTCAAAATATACTGTAAAAACTGTTTTTCAAATGATTTTTTATAGCAGTGTGATTTAAGTATCATTGAAACACTATTGTAGTTTTGATTTTTATATTTTCAAGTTTCATTTTAATTTTAAAGTTTTAGCAATTTAGTTGTTTTTTTTGTCATTTTTAGGTGTTTTTGTTTATATATGTATGTATATGTGTGTATGTGTGTGCATATATATATATATACACACACACACACACACACACACACACACACACACACACACACACACATACATACAGTTTTAAATTTTATGTGTGTGTGTATATATATATATACACACACACACACACACACACACACACACACACACACACACACATACATACAGTTTTAAATTTTATGTCAGTTTTAGTTTTAATTATTTTAGTACACAAAGTTTAACTAAAATAGAGAAATACCTTGGGAAATTTCTGAAATAAAAAGATTTTTATAATTTATTTCAGTTAACATTTATTTTATTTTAAGTAACAAAATGGTTTTTATGGTTTTAATTGTAGTTTCAGTTTTAGTTAACTATTATAACCCTGATTATTGGCGTACATTTTACAAGAAAATTTTATTTTGTTTTTTCGACTTAAAAATGTCATGTTTAATTCAATACGATACTTGCCCTAATCTTTATCAGTAATTGTTTTTTTGCAACAAACTATCAAATTATTTTATTATTTATAAAACTATATTACATAGGCCTAAAGTATTCTTTTTACTACTTAGAGACAGGCCAGATGCAAAGCATCAAAAAGAAAAACAAGCTGTACAGTGAATAATGCATCAAATACAGTTTTATGTCAACCCTAACTTCAGAAAAGATTATATTCATAAAATTGCATTAAATCAACTAAGCAACAATTAACCTCGGGATCTCAGCAGAGTGAAAACGCATCAAGAAATATATCTAAAGTATGAAAGCCATATTTGTTTACATAAGGTCTCCACATGCAACATGCACAACTACCCATCTAATAAACCATTTCTGGGCCTAGTCTTCTCTTCTGTACCCTCCTCCATGCGCTACCTATGAGGCCTTTTCCCCTTTCCTCAAACAATGACTGCTTTATACTCAAGGCCCGAAGTGCCACCGTGGGAATGTGCTGAGGGGGAGGACATGTTTTTATTCTGCTATTGGCAACCTAACCAGAGGCTGGCGACGCATAGGTTAAAACTGCTACTCACAAGTACTCAAGGCAGTAGGTGTGGACAAATTGTCAATTTAAGGACATTATGGAGTTAATTTGCACATTTTAACAGCCAAATGGTCCAAAAAAAAAAAAACATTTGGCAGCAAGTTCAATGTTCTTATGCAAATTTCCTGGCGTGGTGCAATTAGCATGTCAGTGCCAGATCTGCAACATCCTGATCTATTAAACGTTTACAGTCCCAGCCAGATTGTCATAGCAAAGTCAGAATTACCTCCTCTCATAGGTTCACGAAACGGTCGTCCATAAAATGCATTACTGTCCTGTTGTAAGCAATCTTAAAGATTCCTAAATGCATCTACTTTCGGAAGACCAAATAAAGTGCTTTTGCTTTCGCCTAGAAACACACAGCGTCTCCCTGACATGGCTGCTTCAACACTAACTGCAGTTACTGAAACCACGCCTTCTTTCTTTGCGTGCACATTTGGGCGGCATTATGCAAATATTTCCACATAGTGGAATGAAGCAACTTTTTCGATCCATCCGCTCACACGGTTCAATTGATTCCTGGTTCATAGCGAATCGGTTCTCGGTTCAACGAGTCAGCGAGTTGACACGGGATGCGCTCGGATCTATACAGTGCGATTTTATAGCAACAAATCAGCGTTTGTGAACAGGTGTCCTGATGTTTTATCCTACCCGTCAGATTGTCCTACCAGGGTTTACTGCGCACGCGCACATCAATATTGCGTCCTTTTTCTCATGCTGAACAACAATATTTAATGTATCTGCATTACTGTAAGGGTAGGTTTAGGGTTGGGGTAGGTGTAGACTTTAATAAAACACAATCTAATAGGTAGAAAAAATATTTATTGTTGCTTTCCTGTAGCTGTATCCATTCTAGCTACAACCGCGAATATAACATAGGCTAATTACTGTATTTGCATTACTGTAAGGGTAGGTTTAGGGTTGTGGTAGGTGTAGCTTAGATGTTAATAAACCATCATTTTACAGGTAGCATTTTTCGTTGTCGAAATGTACTACCCACTGTTTTAATGGGAGGTAGCAAAATCTGACAGGGTAGCACAAATCGACAGAACACCGGTTCAACCAATTTTTAAAGAACCAATTCACAAGAATGATCCATTCACGATTGGTTCGAAAAGACGGCAATGTCGTAAAGATGTTACGCATCTCTCTGAATATCACCTTGACGCCGTAATGATGTCTACTGCACAAACATCTGAAAAAGCATGCTCATGTCATGATGACTATAACACAGATGTTCTTGCTGTGTCACCGATGCGCCCCTCCTGAATCACATTACATCACAACAGCAGTCACACTGGCGACCTTCCTAAAGGACCGACAGCAGCAGTAGATGTGCTCATCTACCTTGCAATGCGCAGAACTGTCAGAAACACGCCAGACCTTGAAACAAGCAAAATACACATCCGCGCTACTGTAGGAAATGCTGTTTTGATCCCAAAGCCAATGCTGTAAACAGTCGCATTACTACATTTCTCCGCAGTGCGATTATTCCGTATCAAAACGAGCACTGAACCGTTTTAATATGCGTTATGGACGTATATTTAAGCGCTGCGGTGTGTTTGGTTCGGTGGTTGAGGAGCCCTACCTCGTTCCGGCTTCACCTGGGATGATGATGCTGGAGCGTGCAGACTTTTGCTGCATTGACTCAAAGCTCCGAGGAGCGAGACCACGTGACCCAACTCTGCACCGCTTCTATCTCAGTCATCCAAGTCTACACTGCGCTTTTAAAGTCAGTTGCAGTTTTATGCCATGAAGAGTCGTGCAGGGATAAAATCCCTTACAAGATAAGACTAATAATGTTCTTGAGATGGAATATAATATTTACATCCAGTAAACGTGCTTTCCAGGAATACACTGTAGAAAATGTTACATTTACTGTAAAACTGCTAGTTGTAGGTTGCCAGAACATTATCGTAAAAATACTATGACGTCAATGTGTAGCCTAATTAAATCATATAACGTCCTATTTTAACGACGATTCACCATAAAAAAGTATAGTAAAAAAAAAGAAGAAACACACAAACACAATATTAATTATTTTACTGTAAAATTATATATTGTCTTTTAAAATATGGTAACTTACTATATGGCAACTTAACCAATTAACAATTTTGATTGTAGCAGCTACTTTTAGATTATGTCCCCGTTAAAATTAACATGTAAATATTTTTTGTGTATCTATGCCGCAAAATAACGCTATTAAAAGCTGTGTGGATCTGTCTCAGAGGGGTTTGTGAATAATTACACTTACAGTAATGATATCAAGTGGTCTCTGATTCTGTGGGCGTTGATAACGGATTGCACCGTAGAATAAACTGCTCAAACTGTTATAAAAGTGATTTAACTGACCTGTAATGATGTCTTCAATCACCAACTCTTTCTCCGTCATCATTACAATTTTCAAGTCTCCTTATTCCTGTTACGATCCCACTTAATGTCTAAACTTTTGCGCGGCTCATTAGATTCTTTACAAAAAAGCTCCCTACTTCTCAAAGTGTGCTCCCCACTGTCCCGTTTCTTAACTACGCTTACACCCACCAGATTTCCGGCCCAAAACTCTTTAAGATTAACTCTTTGGTGCTCATTGAAAAGGAAGTATCTCGAGTTTGACCGAGAGTTGTGTTTTTCTCATACCGTCTGACACCCAGAGAAAGGAAGTGTACCGATCCAGACTTTACGTCTGTTGGCTCGCCATCCCGCCCCGCCCTTCGGCTCGACTCATGTGCAAGACTAGGCTAATGAATACAGTAACAGAGTAAACACAGGCCTCTGAGAACTAAAGTGACACGTAATTAATTCTGTATAGCTATTCGATTCTCTGTGTATACTGTGAAGATATTATACAATATAATAAACTAATTGTGTTGTAAATAGAGCAATATTTACACACTCTCAGAAAAACTAAACTGTCACTGGGGCAGTACACTCTTAAAAATAAAGGTGCTTCACGATGCCATAGAAGATCACTGAATCATTTTGTAATCGATTCTTTGAAACGAACCTGTAAAAGAAAGTGATTCACAGACATCAGTACATCAACAATTTACTCTGCGAAGGATTTATCTTTGATGTTATGCACAGTAACGTCACCAGCATGAGACGGAGTTTTGTGTTTTGTGATTTAGAGAGGAATATGAATTGTGATATTGTGTATCTGTACCTCTTGCGCTCCCGGCGCGGGTCTGACGGCCAGCTGCGGTTCTGGAGCGTTTCTGAGCGTCTCTGTGAAAGATGCTCCTGCTTCTGCCTCCAGACCTGCACAAACACACATTCAGTCATACAGCGTCACTGAAGAAACACAGAACCAGTTCAGTTCAGGATCACAGCTCCGCTACACTCTTACAAATAAAGCTGCTTCACAGTGAGGCCACAGAAGAACCTTTTTGTCTGAATGGTTCCATAAAGAGCCTTTAACATCTGAAGAACCTTTCTGTTTCACAAAAGGTTCTTTGTGGCGAAAGAAGGTTCTCCAGGTTATAAAAAGGTAAGAAAGAGATGGTTCTTTAAAGAACCTTTGACTGAATGGTTATTTGTGGAACCAAAAATGGTTCTTCTATGGCATCACTTCAAGAACCTTTTGAAGCACCTTTATTTTTAAGAGTGTACCCTTTCAAAAGGTACTAGAAGAAGGTACTAATATGAGGAGAAATTGCTTTCTTTTTATTGAACATATGGGTGTGATCTCAGCCAGGGTGGAGTTCAGCGTCTCCCTGACATGGCTGCTTCAACACTAACTGCAGTTACTGAAACCACGCCTTCTTTCTTTGCGTGCACATTTGGGCGGCATTATGCAAATATTTCCACATAGTGGAATGAAGCAACTTTTTCGATCCATCCGCTCACACGGTTCAATTGATTCCTGGTTCATAGCGAATCGGTTCTCGGTTCAACGAGTCAGCGAGTTGACACGGGATGCGCTCGGATCTATACAGTGCGATTTTATAGCAACAAATCAGCGTTTGTGAACAGGTGTCCTGATGTTTTATCCTACCCGTCAGATTGTCCTACCAGGGTTTACTGCGCACGCGCACATCAATATTGCGTCCTTTTTCTCATGCTGAACAACAATATTTAATGTATCTGCATTACTGTAAGGGTAGGTTTAGGGTTGGGGTAGGTGTAGACTTTAATAAAACACAATCTAATAGGTAGAAAAAATATTTATTGTTGCTTTCCTGTAGCTGTATCCATTCTAGCTACAACCGCGAATATAACATAGGCTAATTACTGTATTTGCATTACTGTAAGGGTAGGTTTAGGGTTGTGGTAGGTGTAGCTTAGATGTTAATAAACCATCATTTTACAGGTAGCATTTTTCGTTGTCGAAATGTACTACCCACTGTTTTAATGGGAGGTAGCAAAATCTGACAGGGTAGCACAAATCGACAGAACACCGGTTCAACCAATTTTTAAAGAACCAATTCACAAGAATGATCCATTCACGATTGGTTCGAAAAGACGGCAATGTCGTAAAGATGTTACGCATCTCTCTGAATATCACCTTGACGCCGTAATGATGTCTACTGCACAAACATCTGAAAAAGCATGCTCATGTCATGATGACTATAACACAGATGTTCTTGCTGTGTCACCGATGCGCCCCTCCTGAATCACATTACATCACAACAGCAGTCACACTGGCGACCTTCCTAAAGGACCGACAGCAGCAGTAGATGTGCTCATCTACCTTGCAATGCGCAGAACTGTCAGAAACACGCCAGACCTTGAAACAAGCAAAATACACATCCGCGCTACTGTAGGAAATGCTGTTTTGATCCCAAAGCCAATGCTGTAAACAGTCGCATTACTACATTTCTCCGCAGTGCGATTATTCCGTATCAAAACGAGCACTGAACCGTTTTAATATGCGTTATGGACGTATATTTAAGCGCTGCGGTGTGTTTGGTTCGGTGGTTGAGGAGCCCTACCTCGTTCCGGCTTCACCTGGGATGATGATGCTGGAGCGTGCAGACTTTTGCTGCATTGACTCAAAGCTCCGAGGAGCGAGACCACGTGACCCAACTCTGCACCGCTTCTATCTCAGTCATCCAAGTCTACACTGCGCTTTTAAAGTCAGTTGCAGTTTTATGCCATGAAGAGTCGTGCAGGGATAAAATCCCTTACAAGATAAGACTAATAATGTTCTTGAGATGGAATATAATATTTACATCCAGTAAACGTGCTTTCCAGGAATACACTGTAGAAAATGTTACATTTACTGTAAAACTGCTAGTTGTAGGTTGCCAGAACATTATCGTAAAAATACTATGACGTCAATGTGTAGCCTAATTAAATCATATAACGTCCTATTTTAACGACGATTCACCATAAAAAAGTATAGTAAAAAAAAAGAAGAAACACACAAACACAATATTAATTATTTTACTGTAAAATTATATATTGTCTTTTAAAATATGGTAACTTACTATATGGCAACTTAACCAATTAACAATTTTGATTGTAGCAGCTACTTTTAGATTATGTCCCCGTTAAAATTAACATGTAAATATTTTTTGTGTATCTATGCCGCAAAATAACGCTATTAAAAGCTGTGTGGATCTGTCTCAGAGGGGTTTGTGAATAATTACACTTACAGTAATGATATCAAGTGGTCTCTGATTCTGTGGGCGTTGATAACGGATTGCACCGTAGAATAAACTGCTCAAACTGTTATAAAAGTGATTTAACTGACCTGTAATGATGTCTTCAATCACCAACTCTTTCTCCGTCATCATTACAATTTTCAAGTCTCCTTATTCCTGTTACGATCCCACTTAATGTCTAAACTTTTGCGCGGCTCATTAGATTCTTTACAAAAAAGCTCCCTACTTCTCAAAGTGTGCTCCCCACTGTCCCGTTTCTTAACTACGCTTACACCCACCAGATTTCCGGCCCAAAACTCTTTAAGATTAACTCTTTGGTGCTCATTGAAAAGGAAGTATCTCGAGTTTGACCGAGAGTTGTGTTTTTCTCATACCGTCTGACACCCAGAGAAAGGAAGTGTACCGATCCAGACTTTACGTCTGTTGGCTCGCCATCCCGCCCCGCCCTTCGGCTCGACTCATGTGCAAGACTAGGCTAATGAATACAGTAACAGAGTAAACACAGGCCTCTGAGAACTAAAGTGACACGTAATTAATTCTGTATAGCTATTCGATTCTCTGTGTATACTGTGAAGATATTATACAATATAATAAACTAATTGTGTTGTAAATAGAGCAATATTTACACACTCTCAGAAAAACTAAACTGTCACTGGGGCAGTACACTCTTAAAAATAAAGGTGCTTCACGATGCCATAGAAGAACCTTTTTGTCTAAATGGTTCCATAAAGAACCTTTAACACCTGAAGAACCTTTCTGTTTCACAAAAGGTTCTTTGTGGCGAAAGAAGGTTCTTCAGATTATACTGTAAAAAGGTAAGAAAGAGATGGTTCTTTAAAGAACCTTTGACTGAATGGTTATTTGTGGAACCAAAAATGGTTCTTCTATGGCATCACTTCAAGAACCTTTTGAAGCACCTTTATTTTTAAGAGTGTACCCTTTCAAAAGGTACTAGAAGAAGGTACTAATATGAGGAGAAATTGCTTTCTTTTTATTGAACATATGGGTGTGATCTCAGCCAGGGTGGAGTTTACATGACAAAGGCACTGGGATATTCATGATATCACACAGAATAAAGCAGAACACAATGCATCTCTGCTTTAGACACTTTCACAGAAGAATCCTTTGGTGAAACATGGACAAACATTTCTCTTTACATGTGAGGCTACTTTCTGTTACTGACAAACATAACAAGTTAATTCATATATAAAGTCACATTTTAGCTTACATATTAGACATATTCATTTATACATACAATCAGTGATGGCTGTTTTTCTAAATCAATTAGTAAACTAAACTTCAGTAGACTATGGCAGTTAAAGGAGGAAACCAGTGTTGGTCACGTCCCCTGGCATTGGAAGGTTATAAAAAGGCTCAATGCCCCATCTAGTGGTCAATCTGAAATTGACCCAGAGGACCCCAAACCTGACAATCAAACCCCCAACAGGCATTGTATTAACATAATGCTAATCCTACTCTAATATATTTTAAAATTTTCAAAGTGTCCCATACATATTTTGTTCATATTCATATGTGCATCCAAAACTTTTTTTTTAAATGTAGAAGGAAAAAGGAGAGATACTAAAAACAAAATATGTCTTGTCATGGCTATATGAAAAAGTAGTCATATTTTCGATGGTTTTCAATTTCCTGACTTGCACAAAAATGCATGGCACATTTCTTGCTGTTAGATTCCATTAGTTTGTTTTGACACTTTACTAAGCTTCCTGTTCACTGCTTTAACAATCACAAAAATTGGGGTGATGTTGCACCAATACTTTCAAAATCTAAAATCAAATTGCTGCCCTATTACTGCCAAATATTAGCTGGAACTCAAAAAGTCACTGAATGAGTCATGTCAAACTGGATTGGCTTTATTTTTAACAAATATCAACTGCATAAATGCAGTGCAATGTATTTTCACTTTTGTAGGAAAATTGGTTTATGAAAGTATATAGCCTTTAAATTGGCCCTTTGATGATAACAAGCCATGTTAGCCAGTTCAATGCACTCTTGATAAGAACAGTTTGGAAACAGTCCTACAGAATCCATAATATGC